CATAACAATGACCCAAAATACATGGCCAAGGCAAAAAAGGAGTGGCTCAAGAAGAAGCACATTAAGGTCCTGGAGTGGCCTAGCCAGTCTCCAGACCTTAATCCGATTGAAAATCTGTGGAGGGAGCTGAAAGTTTGAGTTGTCAAACGTCAGCCGCCAAACCTTAATGACTTGGAGAGGATCTGCCAAGAGGAGTGGGCCAAAATCCCTCCTGAGGTGTGTGCAAACCTGGTGGCCAACTACAGGAAACATCTGACCTCTTTGATTGCCAACAAGGGATTTCCCACCAAGTACTAAGTCATGTTTTGTGAAGTTGATCAAATACTTAATTCCCTCATGAACATGCAAATCAGTGCATAATTTATTAGACATGCATTTCTTTTGAATTTTTTTGTTGCGATTCTTTCAGTGTTACAATACACCTACCATTCAATTTTTAGACTGACCATTTCTTTGTGAGTGGACAAGCATTCAAAATCAGCAGGGGATCAAATACTTATTTCCTTCACTGTATATACTGAGCATACCCCTCATGCCAGTGTATATACATTTTTTTTTTAACTGTGGATGACACATCTCCTCCTGCAGTGCTGCAAGCATTGAAGTATGTATTCTGAGAGCAACACCATGCTGCTGTCAGAATAAACAGATTAGTTCTGCAACTGATTGGCATTCCTGCAAAGAAAACAATGGTTAACAATAACACACAGTAACAGTAGAACATTAACTCAAAAAATAACTTTTTTTTTTACTGAAATCTGTGCCAAAAAATAAAAAAAAAATACTAAAGCATAGGAGTGATCCACCCTGTATTCCTGCAAGCAAACAGAACCGGGTAACAATGAAACACAGTAATGAAAAAAACATTAACTGAATAAAACCAAAAAAAAATTTTTGTTATTGTTATTTTTTTTACTTTTTTTTTGCAACGTATTAGAACCATAAACTTTCCTGCCTTTAATTTTAGGGTCTCTCAAAATGCGATAGACAGTTTCCTGACTAACATCTTTTGAGACATTTGTGTGTGAATTGTGTGCCCTAGATTGTGCTGTACTGTACCCTAAACTAATACACCACTAGTGTGTGGTAGCAATGGAAGCAGTCCTTGATTAAAAGACCAGGTTGGCCAGGACAGGAGGGACAGAAGAAGCAGATGTCTGGTCTTATTCTGTGTCTGCTACAGACACAACATCTTCTCTGAGGTGACCTTTGGGTTGGGGTACCAGAGAGGACATCAGGAAAATGCCTCTCATGATCAGTGAAAAATACTATACACTGACACTACACTAATGGCTCCGGCTGGGTGACAGGGTGATGAAAGGGTTAACTGAGGGTGATCAAAGGGTTAAATGTGTCCATCTAATGTGTATGGGTGCAAAGGGTGCTGATTTTACTCACAGTGTGTCTCTCTCTTCTTTTTTGGTCTTGGAAGAGAAGAACCAGCTAAATCCAAAGCCTGTATTTATAAATACAGGCACATGACTGCGTTTTCATTTGCTGCAAGCGATCAGCAGCGTTCCAGACAAAATAATTGGATGGGATCTGCTGATGAACTGCTTCTGCAGAAAATGATAGCAGGAGGATGGTGGGGGGGTGCGTACACCTGGAAAAGGGCCGTGACATACAACTATGTCACTGTCCCTACACAGGCCACTTCTTCGCAGCACATTGTGGGTGGGTGATCTGGAACTGGTTAAACAACTTTAGTATCAGGCTGCAACATAACAAAATTGAAAACAGTAAAGGGAATCTGAATACTTTATGAATGCACTATATATCTACATGTGTGCACATCTCTAAATATTACAAGGAAAGAGCATTTTGAAAAAGGAAACTCCAGCAGTAATTATTTTATAAATTTTTGTTATGCTTACAGCAGCACACAACCATAACATTTTCATGGACATCAAATTATGTACAGGCAGGGAGGCTAACAAACTAAATAAAAACATTAAAAAAAATTAAAATAGATATTTTCTGGGCTGTGGTAACTCAACAATAATGCATAATGGACCTTGTACCATGGGGACAACAGCATGAAAATACAGCTGTCCATCATGCTAGAAAAGCTAGGAGAAAATTAAATAATTCAATGCATCCTAGACTTCCAAGTGCTTTAGTGAGTGAGACCAAAGATGAAACCTTTCATTCTGAAGAAAGAACATTATGTTTGCGATTGCAACACACCAAGTCATGGATTTCTTCCATTGTTCTGAGAATGAAGGATATGATGAAAAAAAAAAAAAGTAAAAAAAACAGGAAATAATTGAGAATATAAAGTTTAAGATTAAGACCAGGCAGATATCAAAAACACAAACGTATGCAGTTAAAAAAAAAACAAAATGTATTTTAATAAAACTAGTATAAATACCTGAATTTTACTATACTTGATTGCAGTGTACTGTATTGTATTGAAATCCCCTGTACAGTACCACTCAGACTGAGAGACAGGTCAGCAGTTGAGATGTCTTGTATTCACATGTGCGAGTAAGGGGCATGCCTGCAGTAGAAGAGCGAGGAGATGACCTTGTCAGGTTCTGCCCCATCACTAATCACAATCAGTTGGTCGGGAGATAACATAGCTGATTTTCTTAACTGCAGTAGAGAAAATTTAGGTCAACAGCCTAACTGTGCTGCAGTACTGCATTGAAGAATTTTCATAGTGAGCTGTAAAGAAAATTTAAAGTAGAATTAAGGAAAAAAAAACTAATTTTGTGGGAAGTGGCTGCTCTACAGCAAAACATAATGGGCTTTCCATCTAATGTAGATGGGAGTTTGACAATACAGAATAAAAGTATTCCATGGACTGAAATGTTACAGACTATGAACCATGGGCCAGGCGTTAGGCTAAAAAAAAAAAGAAAATATTTTCGAACAATATGATTTTGGTGAATGTTTTATAATCCAAAAATCATTAGTCCTGTACAAGAAAACAAGTGGAAAGTGCGGAGACTGGTAATGGTATACACTCATGGACTTTAGCCCATTGTCATTTGAATCTGGGTCACAGGAGAACAGAAGTATGTGAAATCCTTTGGCCCACAGGAGAAGTATGGCCAGAAGAGCTTTAGCCATACTTCTTTAAGAAGGGCTCATTCACTGCAAGTGACTGCATAGCAGATTTATGATTGGTATGGGGGTTGCAGTGACTACAGGGGTTGAAGGTACTACAGAGGATCTGGAGACCTGCTCATTGTTCATGTGCTGAAAGTGACATTGACATTCCCTATCATGAAAGAACATTGGAATCTTCTTCTTGCATAGATATGATAATTGAAAATTACAAACAGAGCCATAGTGATGTAATTGCCATGCACTCCAAGAACATTAAGTCAATTCACTAAGCTGTATGAGTTATTTTAACTGAATTTATTATTGTATCCTACCATCATATTGCATAGGTGTGAAATCTTTAATTTTAGCAATAATTAGCTATGTATGTATTTTTAGAACCTTTTCATGAATGAGCATTTTTTATTCATGTAAAGTTATTATATTTCTACCCTAGCTTGCTGTATTTTCTCCACTCTTCTGAATGAGGAGTGGAGGAGTGGAGAAAATACAACAACTGAGTTAGTTAGAATCCAATGGTATTTAAGGAGTAAAAAATGGCATGCAAAAAATGTTAGCAAATTGACTTTTACATAGAAAATAAGACATTAAAAAACTGACATGATCGTTTTATTTGCTATACATTTTAATACATAAGAAAAATGCTTAGTAAATGGAAAACAAAATTTTTTAGCTATAACAATCAGCAAATAATGCTTAGTAAGGAAAATACTGTATTCTTTAGTAACCTGATCCCATAGTTTTTTTAATGGGGATCTTTACTGAAAAATTGTTCGTATATATACATGCTGTATATTTAGTATATACTGTATATATATTTCACCATATACTGCAATATTACATGACTAGTACAAATTGCTGTTAAATAGATGGTGTAATGACCAACATCAACCACTACAAGTATGAACTGGCCTCCAAAGAAAATCAATGTCCAGTTACTAAAATAATCACTTGGTTAGAAAGAATTATTGTTAAAATTTACAGAAAAGCATAACATTCCAGAAGGGCAACTATATGTATCTGTGCGTTTTATGTCCATGTCTAATAAACGGATCAACCACTTATATAGCATTTTAAGGAACAATAAATTACTGTAGGAACAAAAATTTCACTCCTGAGATACATCACATTAAATCACTCCAATAAAAGATATGGTTTTCGTAGACAGCTATATTTCATTCATGACTTTTTACTGTGACTGCCAGTTACACAATTCACAATTTTTAACTGAAACCCTTTTCTGCAGTAGCGAGAAAAAGAAATAGATCCCAGCAAAAGTTGCCCAAAATGAAGGAGATATGGGTTTATATTTTATGTGAGACTACAGAAGTCATTTTTTTGAGGCCAGATGTGTGACGGGATTATAATTAAAGTCACTTAAAGCCCAACTCTGGGAAATGTGAAAATTCTCCCTTGCAGTCGGGCTGCACCCACAAAGCAAGAGTTAACTACTCATTTAGGTATATTGGGCTTAGAAAAGATTTACTTATCAGTTCCCCACTCTACCATGCTGCTAGACTGGTGCCTGCAGCGTCTTCTTCCTGTAATATCGGATGACCAGGTAAGCAAAGGTGCTTTTATTCTCCTTTAGAATAAATGAGAAGTTAAATCCTGAGAGCGCATTCATAAAAGGTCACACTAAGGTAACATAGATGTCTAGAATAGGTTTCCTAGAAATAAATATGCAGCACCCTACAAGTAAGCATGAAGACTTGTTAAGTGCAGAGTGGGACACATTGCTATCTACTTGGAAATTCCCAATGTATTTGATGCCTTTAGCATGCATTCCAGTAAGCAGACTGCAGTGGCTATTGTTTTTCTGAAGTGACCATTCTACATGAATAAAGCATGAGAGTCTTGCTATAAATTTGGGACTTTCTACCCCAGAAATGTGTTTTCTGATATGAATCTATTCCTTTTCTTAATAGCACCCTGTGGATACAATGAGACAACAGAAGATGGCAAAATAGTGCAGCTTCCTCCATGCAAAACTGGAGCGTGGATTGTCCCAGCAATCATGGCCTGTTACCTCTTAGTTGCTAATATTCTTTTGGTAAACCTTCTGATAGCTGTGTTCAAGTAAGTTTGTCACTCTCTGAACCCAGTCCTAAAACTAACAATAAAAGTGGCAATGGATGTAAACTCACAATGAAGTACAAGTGAAAAAAACATTTCTATCAAAATGTGCTTAAACCATACTTTACTGAAAGCATTGCCACAATGTGGTCAGTAGCAACATATAGGAGATAAAGAAAGCTACTAGTGCTATAGCAAGAATTCATACCATTGCTTTAATTTTCCAAATCTACATCAAAACAATTATTCTGTATCTGATTATTTCCCATTAATAAATTAGCACCAATGTGTTATTTTCTTCTGTTATCATATCAAAATTAGCAATACAAGTGAGTGCCCCCCCCCCTTGAACCATACCAATCCACAGGCACTCAACATGGGGGGGGGGGTTCTTTGGGGTACTACTATGTCGCAGTCAGGTGGTGAGGAGGCTACATATCGACTCCTCACCACCTGTCAAACAGATTCAGATCACTTTTCAGAGGAGCAGCAATGCTAACTGTACTTGTAAATGAGCCCTTAGTTGCATTCGGCAGAGGCAACCTTAGGGCTCGTTCACACATAAAGTGTGTGTGTGTGTGTGTGTGTGTGGGATGGGGGGGGCTTAAAATCCTGCAGATGAGTCACAGTTTTACCGCCCAGGAAAGTCACATATGCACTGCGCTGCACCCTCATAGTGCATATGTGAGACAGCAGCCAAAGGTGTGCACATGCCACAGCAGGCGTTAAACCCCCCGCCTGCCAATTGTGACCCATTCAAGTAAAGAGGAGCCACTCTGCAAGCACCCCACAACTGCATGCTTCTACGGGGTCCAAGGGCTTAAAGCAGGTGGTGAGAAAGAAACATGCTGCCTGCTTTAACTCCTTGTTTGCTGTACTGCACAAGGTTGTTGCAGGACACTTGCAGAGTGGTCTCATTCACTTGAATGGATCATGCTTGGCAGGTGCTACACCCACCAACCATGAAAGGGTGTATAACTCCTGCTGCAGCATGTGTACACCCCTGGTCACTTCAGTTAAAGGGGGTGCGGTTCGGACAGGAGTGGTAAACTATGTTTTTTTTACCACCCCCAAACTGCAAATGTAAATGAACCCCCTTACTGTTCTGAGACCTCTAGAAGACTGTTTTCACACAATGTGCTGCACTTTACCTGCACGGAGGGTGCAGCGCAGTACATATGTGACTTTCCTGGGTTAGCTGTGCTTTGCCATAGACTTCTAATATATCCTGGAGGTGTGGTGCACTTTCTGAAAGCGCACCAAAATTCCTGCATTCAGGACTCTGTTTGATGCTCTGGAATGGTGAGTCAGCAAGCCCAGACCACGATCTACCAGTCAACTGGCCACAATCTAATGGTAGATTGCAAGCTTGGTTTAGTGACCTCCGCTCTAAAGAATGTAAATCTACTCACAGATAGGGGGATCCAAAATAATTCAACAACATGTTCTTAAAGAATGATATTGTCATGCACCTGACCTCAGCTCTTCTGGAATGAAGACATTAGACTACCTCCGTAGCGGGGCCTCAGAGCAGCCCATGTAGGTTGCTATGGCTTTAGTTACGTTGCTATTTGGTGCATATTTGCTTCTTATTTTGTATAAGGTATTTGTAATGTTTTTCTTTTGAATTGATTTATTGAAATAACACATTAAAGAACTCTATTCCAATGGAAATATATAGGATATTCTCTTATGAAAGGTAAATGTTGAAACAAAAAATACAAAGTTTTCTAACTTTTGCCTGATTTATTCAAATGTACGCATGGATGCTAGTGCATTGATTGTGCATGAACAGCCAAATTGTATCCCTGCAGTTCTGACAATGCTCAAGTGACTTGCCGTTGGTATACAGTAAACCATAGAGGGGACTCCTACTGCATCATGAGAACAGGGCTATTTTCTTTGGTTTATGTGGTCAGTTATGGAGGAATATGAGTGTTTACACATAGGCCTTATATTTTTTTAAAAGAATGTTGTCTTAAAGAAAAATAAAAGCTGCCATTGCTTGCCAATTCTGATAATTCTAATCACTTCTGTCTCTGGCCTTAGTGCTTTCTGGGTCAATGAACAAGAACAAGTATGCAGGAAATGAAACTTGAGCAAAATCAGATTTTCTGATCTGCATACTTGTTCAAGGTCAATGAATCAGAAATCCCCAGAGCCAAAGGATCAATGCAACTATCATTTGCAGATGGAGCTCAGCTTCATATTCCTCTCAAGAGGTTTCCTTTAAAAAGTATTTCCAGCCAAAACATGTTTTAGCTTTGGAAAGAGTTGGTGAAGGTTTGGGAAATTTTACGGCTGTTCAAGACCCTGTTTGGGAGATTTCCACTCATGTTCTGTCCTGATTGCAATATTGTCACCAAAGCAGGAAATGAGGAAAATTTCCATAAAGGGACAAAGACAGCAATGAAAAAAACACTTTTTTAGTTAATTAGCGAAGGCTAGAATACTTGTTAGATTTTATTGCTGTGTTCCCATTGCAGAGTTTCCCTTACTTCCTATTTGGTGACTGCATTGTAACCAGAACAGGTAGTGTGTGCAGGGGGGAGTCTCCCCAACGATTCCTCAGACAGCAATAAAAATCTTACAGACATTTTAGGTTACTCTGTCCAAATGTGAAAAGAAAACTGTCATGCTTGCCCTAACGCAGGTGGTTAGGCACTATAGCTGCCTTCTGTGTTCTTTATCAATAGCAGCCCTCTTTCCCATAAGGCAAGTGGAACTACCAGTACTCGGTTGCTCCCAGGACTTATTCACAATGCTATAGTGCTTGGCTACCATGCTGGGGCAGGCGCACACAGGGCACAGCAAACAGGTACTTGCGGTTGGCAAACATACAGATGGCTTCAATGACAGTCTAGGTACACGGCAGGCAAGATTCAGGGTAGTCAGGGTCAAATACGAGTCAAAAGGGAGGCAGAGTTCATAGAATAGTCGATATCCCACTAGAGATCATAAAAAGCGGAAACCAAGCAGCAGAGCCGGATAGACAGACAAGGAGCTTGATCACATATTACACACGCTATCACAAGCATGAGACTGCAGGCTTGCCTGGCTTAAATTAGGTTTTCGTCTCCACCCAGAGAATGGCCACATCAATCACCTTGCAGGTGGACAGACAGACAAGGTATCACAACCAAACCAAGTAATATGGAATGAGACCAGCAGCAGTGTTGGAGCAGGAGCACTACAAGCTACTAACAAAAACATTTTTGGTTGGTGGTATACTTTATCCACACATGCCATGTAGCAAGAGAGATTAATTTTTTTAGTAAAAGCCTTGTTGATAACATAGTAAGAGTGCAGTAACCCACAGCAAGCAATCTGAAATCATTCTTGTCATTGTCCTGCCATTGTCAACTTCCTTAAAAAATAAATTAGATTGTTTGTTAGAAGTTCATTTATTCGGCCTCTTTTGCACTTTAAAATATGTTTATAAATAATCTGAAAACAGTTGTGAATGTCCCAATAGTTTTGGTACACTTGGCCTTGAGTAATCATTTCAGTTGGTTCTGATGTTTTTCTTTGCAGCAACACATTCTTTGAAGTCAAGTCCATATCAAACCAAGTTTGGAAGTTCCAGAGATACCAGTTGATAATGACATTTCATGAAAGGCCTGTCTTGCCTCCTCCTTTGATTATTTTTAGCCATTTCACTATGATATGTAAGCACCTGTGCTGTCGCTGGAGAAAGCACGAAAGTGACCAAGAAGACAGAGACTATGGATTAAGTAAGGCTTACACTACAAAAAAAAAATATTTATTTTGTGTATGTACATAGCATTATATGTGAATGCATTCATCCTGTATGACTGCAGCAAAAACATAATGACTATGACTAGTGAAGACATGTAGGCTGAGGACTCTCGGTATTGTTTATTCACCTAGGCTACTCGGGAGTAGCAGCGATCTTTGCCTCTTTACATTTACTAGCCCCTTGATTGGAATGAGGACAAGCCTGCTATCCACGTTTTGGGACACAGGGATATGCTTTTACTTCTACTTTGACCGGCAACAAAAGCAATCTAAAAGGTTACAGCAAAATCATGTCATAAAAATATAAAAAGTGACTAAAAGAAAATCTCCGTGAATGCAACACTGACATAAAATTATACCCAGTAGAGTTCTACAATCACCCCCCTCTTCCCTTGACTGATCAATAATTTGCAATGCCTTTGGTGCTAACTGTAATGACAGCTATCTGTTATGGATTTAAAATACACCAATCAAACATGAAAAAAACTTTATATACTGTATATGGGTCTTTGCCTACTAGACCATTACTTCCCATCCAAACACTACACCGTGTAAAATCCTTTGGTTTCATATAACCTAGTATTGTTTATCAGTCCCTTCACACTATCGTGATCCATTGCAATGTGTTAGCGTGATATGTTGTACATATTTTGTACATTAGCATGCACTGCATTATGGACTGCCAACGCATCCCTGAAGTTTCACTGCCAGTGCAGGTTTTACAGTTCTCTACACAAACTCACAGGTGAGGTAGAGTTTTATGCAGGCTATTTCACTAATACATCTAAATAATTACTGAATATGCATTGCTAGTAGGTCTTTGAGGACTAGAGTGAAGCATCATTGGTTTCCATCTTAAAATAGATCCAAATCCACTCAATAAAATCTCAGCATGTTAATGTTTTTTAAAAACGTGTCTTCAATCTAGTTGTATATGCAGTTTTAATAAGTAGCACCTGGTGATTCAATCATGAAGGTCCTTGTTCAGTCACTTCCTAATCTGGGATGCCAGCCATCTCCCAACTTTGCTCCTGTATTGCCATCCTGTCACATGCACACCTAACAGAGACAACAAGCAGCTTTGCTTACAAGCATTGCACAAGCATGCTCCGCTGTTGTCACCATCTGGAAGCATTTCCAAAGTAATGATGTGCAGCCAACCCTGAAGTGAGCGTGTGCAGGAAAAAGTCAGTGGCAATAAATTGCAAAAATAATAAAATGGTGTAAATAGTATTTTAAAAAACAACAACAGGCAAATGTTTGTAATTCACAATGCTTTAGCAAATTAAATGTTATTCAATTAGGGTTTAGATCAGGGGCAGACTGACAACTCATGGGGCCCCCGGGCAATAGGGGATCATGGGGCCTGTGTCCTTGCCCAAACTCAAAAAAGTCTATGAAAAAGGTACCAGGGGCATCTCATGGGGGCCCCTTACTGACCCCGTGCCCTCGGGCAGTGCCCGAGTTTTCAAATGGTCAGTCCGCCCCTGGTTTAGATCAACTTTAACCTGTCACAGTAGAGTGCTGCAGTGTAGTCCCTCCCCTTGGTCTTGGGCCCTGTAGTTTCCTTTTTCATACAAAGCTGAAAACAGGACCTATTTGTAGTACTTAAAACAGCACTTTCCTTTGCAAATGTTTGAAGAAACCATTGCAAATATGAACTATTGAGCATTTCAACAGTTTATTTAAGCAAAGTCAGTGAGCAAAATCTCTCCTTCAATCCCAGTTATTGCCCCATTGTGCACCACTGTCTTGCCTCTCATACAGCATACATCAAGTGGAGTCAATCTGTCAATTACATTCCACATAACAAACAAAACCCCTACCCTTCCTGTGACAGGCATCTGCATACATCAGCAACTATGGGGAATAGCTAGGGATGGAAGTGTGGTCTGCTGACCTACAAAGTCAAACTTTGCAAGTAATTTAACAACTTTGTGCGGTCTGTTTAGGCAACATATTTTGGGGGAGTGTGTTCATATCAGCTTATGGAGAGGATTATGAACATACCAGTATTTTCACTTCCTTGGGGAATGGACAAATTCACAACTCAACAACTCCAACAGTTGGTGTTGCAAAGCACTGTCCTGCATTGTTTTTGCAACGTGAACGAGGAATTGATTCCCTAAAACAGAAATGGGGTAGCGGTGGGGGGCAGGTGTATTGGCAAGGGTGAACTCCAGGCATCTATAAATTATTTCCCTGCTATTAAATTTCTACTTTGTTATAGTGTAAACTGACCATAAATAGATTAGCCTTTTTCAGACCACTAAGTGAAAAATCATCTCCAATTATGTGATCATGGTTCATGGCTGCACTACAAATTAACATATGTAAATTATATTTTGACATCACTAAAATAATGCTTAATAAAAGCAAAAGTAAAGGGTATCTGTCAGAACAGAGATACATTATGTTGCCATTGCTTACATACTACATTTTGAGGCTATCGTCTTAGTACTTCCTTCATTAAATGTTAGTCACCCACCTAGAATAAGTATTTGCATATCAAGCGTCAGGACTTTACAATAATACCCTAAAACGTGTACAAACTGAACATACATTAAACAGGGCCATTAAAAAATCATAAGTTAAAATTCTGTTTTCTGATATCCACCCTCTAAAAATCAAAAGGAAAATGTGTACTGTCAGCATTTAAAGATTTTAATTTGTTAATTCATAGCATTTAGAACCTCATGTGCAAGTCAGCACTCCCTTAACAAAGTAATATTATTATAGCATAATAGACAAATTGTGTAATAAAATAAGAGGATCGCTCAGAAGAGAAAGTAACTTTAATCATTTGTCATCGTACATCAGTAAATTGAATAATCTCCAAACAGGAAGAATCCCTTTTCTGTGTCAGGGATTACATTTGTGCAGGATCGGAGTGCCAGGTGTCACACATGGCACAGTGAGAGAATATTTCTCAGATAATTGTCATTCTGACCTTGTCTTCACTCTTCCGTGAAGCCGTCTGTGCTTCTTAGTGTATATTATGATCAGGTTTTTCTAGGACAACATATAAATTAATCATTATGATCAAATAAGTACCAGAAGATGTAAGATCTCTCTATATCTCTGAACACTATTTACTTTATTTATAATATAAAACCTGAGTGGCAAGGGTCAAAGAGAATCTTCCTGAGTCCAGTGTAAAATGGAAGCCCTTAGAGATTTCTCATCCCACACATACTGCAATAAATGCTCTAGGTTCTAGAACAGTGTTTCTCAACCTTTATTCAGTCATGGCATCCTTTAAAATTCTGCACAATCTTAAGGCACCCCATTCTAAAATGTAAAAAACAAAACTAATAGTTTTACAAACATACAGCGGCCCTGGGGCCTTACCAGCTTACAATCAGCTAACAGTTTGGGGGGTTTGCAGCGAGTCCACAAAGACTTTAAACACTGGGTTTTCCTCCACAGGTATATCCAGGTATTCAGAGGTTACAAACTGGGATTTCAGTGTCTAGTTCAAGCCCGCTTCATGTTGTCAAACTTGCCAGCTTCCCTGCAACAATTGACACCTTCAAGCTGCTTTATAGTTGCTCATTTTGCAGGGTATCATCAGTTTTGTCCTGAAAAAGAGAGGTTCCAGGGTTTCTATCCAACCCTTTTTACCATCCACTAGGCAAAAGGAGGCATCTGCCCTATTCTGGATCTGAAGGTCCTCAACACCTATCTCCCGGGAAAAAAACGTTCTGCATGAATTCCTCCAGAATTTCATATACTCCAATGTCCCGTAATAGATAGGTGTGTATTGCTTACTAGTTTGGGTAAGTTAGGAAACCTGTTAGGCAGTTAAAGTGGAACTAAACCCTCCAATCCTTAACAACCAAGGAAGCTGCCATTTTAGCCTCTGTTGGATATGCTGTTGCCACGGTGCTGCACATGTGATCAGTTATGGCACAAGCCATTTGATGACTTTACAGTTCAGTTCATAGTGCAAGCAACTGTGAAAATTATATTTTTAGCTAGCGCAAAGGGATTTGAAAATTTTAGTCGTGGCTCAAATAAAGATACTTACTATTTGTGTTAAAGACTTGTAAAAAAAAAACCCCAAAAAATGGACATTATCAGTATAGCAGAAGATTTCTATAGATCAACATAATACTCTATTTGTGCTTAATCCCTCAACAGAGTTATTTATAACAGAAGATGAACTAAAAAAAGTACATGATTTTGAAGAACAGTGTATAGAAGAGTATTTCCGAGAAAAAGACGACCGGTTTAACTCTTCTAATGATGAAAGAATAAGAGTCACAGCAGAAAGGTGAGTATGTGGTTTCCTATTGCTTCTTAAAAATACCTAAAATTACAGAAATCATGACACAAACCTATCATCTGGGAAAAAACTGACTTAGTTCAGACACTGAAGTATCAAATACCATTGGCCATAGCCGTGCAATTGAGTGAAGATTGGAGTAACAACTTACTGGGCAGGTAATTATTACAAATATTTTTACAGGCTGCTTCTAAGTCAGTTTTTTGTTCACTTTATAAATATGTAATGATTTCAAATTATAGTGTTACAGAATGGCAAATATAAATTGTGTATTTGTATCAATATCTAAAATTCCTGATCCTTCTCTCATTATGAACCCAACCTATCTTTGCTCACCTATCTGAATTTACCTCTGCTTGCATTACAAGTTTAATTAACTCTTGGCCTAATCTTTGGCTGTATTTTAAAACTGCCTGCCCTGATCAGAGTAAAATTTTTAAATCCAAACCCACATTTAACAATCTAGAAAGCTAGTTCAAAGCATATACGCAGAAAAAGAGAATGTGCATTTCTAAAGAAAGAAAGAGTGTTTTGTATAACAAAAACAGTTTCATATACTGTAGTGGTTAAAAAAAGTTTTATATATATATATATATATATATATATATATATATATATATATATACTGTTTTCTTTTTCAGAGTGGAAAATATGGCTATGCGCCTTGAAGAGGTCAATGAAAGGGAACATTTTATGAAGGCATCTCTCCAAACAGTAGATATAAGACTTGCTCAGCTTGAGGAGTTGCTGGGAAGAATGACTACAGCGTTAGAAAAATTCACAGGAGTGGAAAGAGTAGAGAACAATAAAACAAGGTCTAGAACTTCCTCAGATTGTACTGATGCTGCCTATATAGTTAGACAGAGCAGCTTTAATAGTCAAGAAGGGAATGCCTATAAATTGCATGAAATTATAGACCCTGTTGGTGAAGAACCATTATCCCCTACATCACCCACCCTTATGCCACGAATGAGAAGTCAGTCATTTTATGCAACAAATTTAAAGGACAAAACTGGGTTAGAAAAATTTGATGGTTTCTTTAAGGAAAGAACTTTAAGCCTACACCGTGCTATAAGTTCCCACTCTATATCTAAGGATATAAAACCTCCCCCGTCCCCATTAAACTCTTTGTCAGTAGCTCCAGACTCAAGGAGGCCTTCTTCTTGCATAGACATATATGTTTCAGCAATGGATGAGGCACAGTTTGGCATAGACTGTGGAGAAAGCTCAATGAATGTAGGTTGCAGTGATAACTTTGCAGATTCAGCTTTTATAAGTCGGGGCTGTAGTTCTTCCAGTCACTGTGTGGGGAAAAGCTGCAGCAGAAATCCTAGCTATGAGGAAGGCACAACAACGGACACCCTTGGATATATTTCAGAAACCACAAGCATGCCATGTGGCCAAAATACCTGGGATACAGACCCTCCAATGTATCATACACTAGAACGCTCTAAAAGCAGCCGTTTTCTAGCTACAGCTCCCTTCATCCTAGAAGAAACGCCTATAGTAAAATCACAGAGTTTTATATTTTCACCCTCTAGAAGTTATTATAGCAATCTTGGTGTACCAGTAAAGACTGCAGAATATACAAGTATCACAGACTGTATAGATACCAGGTGTGTTAGCAATACACCCCAAGCAACTGCCGAAAGGTCCACATCTCCAGGATGTGTTCAAGAAAAAGTAGAAGACCTTAGCTGCTGCCATCCAGAGAGAGAAGCTGAGCTTAGTCATCCCAGCTCAGACAATGAGGAACCTGATGCAGATGGGAAAAACAAATGCACAACTTCCCAAGAAAGTTCATCATCAAGAACGATCTTCAATAATTTAACTTTCCCAAAGATTGAAAGAGCAAACAGTTATTCTGCAGAGGAACCCAGTACAATGTATGGACACACAAAGAAGAGCTATTCAATAAGTGATAAACTAGACAGACAGCGTACTTCTTCAAGCCTTAGAAATCCATTCCAAAGGAGTAAGTCATCCAGACCTGAAAGCAGAGGAGATACTTTGTCTATGCGTCGACTTTCAAGAACAGCAGCCTTTCGTAGCTTTGAAAGCAAACATAACAACAAGTTCTAAAACTATTTTGTACATATTGAAAAGGGAAAAATAATGTAAAAACCCACAATATTTTCTATCACCATACAGTGACCTCACCATGTGAATCATTAAGTGAAAAAGCCACCACTGATACATGTCAAGCAATCACTTTACTAAACCTGTCCAAAAACTCTTTTCAGTATAATTTCAGTACCTAATAGTTGAGTCTGCAATATAATGTGATTCATATGCATTTTAAATTGTACAAACATTTAAGCCTCTTTTCCAAGGGTTTTTATGAAAGTGTCTCGATTTCACAAAACGGTATATCTCCCTTGATTCCTGGTGTAAGTTAAGAAATTTGCACAGCACAGAAGGACTTTAGCATTTGAAGCACATATATAATGTACTTGATATCTCCTGTGTTTACTCTTTGTTAAAAAGCCTCTATTGTCTGTTTAGTGTATTCCACAACAGGAGATCTCAGGTCTGAATCCTGTCCTGCCAACAACACTTCATTCTATCATGTCAGAAGAGCAAACATGACAACATAATTGCAGCATGATTAATGGCCTGCTTGTTCTGTATTAGCTTCCAGTGCCACGCGACAATTCTGTTTTTTCCAAAACAAAAAGAAAAAAATTAAAAATTGCCTTTTGTATTGCTAACAGCATAAAGTTTTATCTTACATATGTATATATCCAAATAAACAGTTTGTCTTTCATGGGCATTCTAGCACAGTCAAGAAAGCTCAGGATGAATGTAATTCCATGGCTTAATGTAATATATTTATTTTTTTACCATGTGTTGTCAATACAGTTGCCTAAGTAAACGCATGCTTTAAAAGCAGTGGTGATAATATGACGATACATGTTTGTGAGAGGAGTGTGATATGCTTAACCTCACTGTTTAGTTCCTGAGATTTTGGTTTTTTAATATTCCATGTTCTAAGATCACTGCCAGGGTAGTTACCCTTTAAACTTCAGATTCATTACATTAAAAAAAAAAAAAAGAAATGGAAAAATGTGTTTACTTTTTTAAAATACATAAAAGTCTTTTGTTTACTGTACTCTGGGCCTGATTTACATAGGTGGAGTTTGTAGACACACACCTTAAGCCCATTCTTTACCCATAGGTGCAAAAGATTGACAGTGTTCTCAAGGTTCTTGTTCACTCCAAGGTAGAACATGGATAAACTAGTGATAAAGTTTCTTATAGATTACAAATAAAACCTATAGACCATGCAAGGCCTACTAAGAAGGGTTGCTGCCTAGCCTGAATGATAAAAATGGAACTTGTTGCCAAAGTAATTAATAGAAAAGAAGTCATAACAATCTTAAGGGGATAATGTTACTGTCAAGCCTATTGTTAAAATGTCCCTTACTGTACTACACAGTAGTTGGAAGTTGGTCAGTGCATGAATTTACTGTACATTGTAAAAAAAGGTATCCAGAACAAAATCAAAGTGAAGGTAAATGGCTTAAACATTTAGCATGGAATGGTAATTTAATTTATTTGGTGCATGTGAATAATCATTTTAGAATATACAGTATTTATGGCAATGCAAACTAACAGAACAAGTAAATAAGCAATGTGTCTCATTTTAAGTTTCCTCACTTAGACCTTACAAAACTGCTCACATTACAAAAGTGATGGAGAGAACATAATTATATTTCCTTGGATCTAAGTGTCACATATTCCTAGATGCCTAGGGATCAGATACTAATGTCAGTTAGACAGGGCTACTGACACTAGACAGAAGAAGTGTTAAGTGTGCTAGCTTAACCCCTTCATGCTTAAGGGTAAAACAAATCTAAATGTCTAAGCACAAATTTGCAATGTTGACATGTGTTAGTAAAGCCGTACATATCATCACAACTACTTTGTACATCCAGGCAGGGGTGGACTGACCATTCGGAAACTCGGGCACTGCCCGAGGGCCCGGCGTCAGTAAGGCCCCATGAGATGCCCCTGGTACCTTTAATATTCTTTTTTGGGTGTGGTTTGAGTGTGGGCGAGCACACAGGGGCCCCATGATCCCCTATTGCCCAGGGGCCCCATGAGTTTGTCAGTCCTCCCCTGCATCCAGGTGAATTATACCTTTTTTTTTTTTTTTTTTCAGGATATATTTTTCTTTCATTTGGTGGTAAATGGTAATGGATATCTCCTGATTTTTTTTTATCAAAGGAAAACTGGCCCAAAATAGTAAAAAAAATAATGTTTTTAAATTTAGCTGTGTGTTTCTTGTTACTACCAAAACCTACCATCAAATAAAAACTCAAAATAAATTTTCCAGCTCTTGACGATCGCAGCGATACCATATATGTATGTTATTTGTTGTTTGTACCCGTAGTACAGACCAGACACATTGGGGTTTATTTACTAAAGCTGGAGAGTCCAAAATCAGACTCCCTTCTGCATAGAAACCAATCAGCTTCTAACCTCAGCTTGTTCAATGAAGCTTTGGCAATGAAACCTGGAAGCTGATTGGTTTCTATGCAGGAGGGAGTCTGATTTTGGACTCTCCAGCTTTAGTAAATAAACCCCATTTTGTTTTGTTTTGTTTTTTTACCTAAGACACACTGACACCAAATTTTTAAATCCTGACCTTTGACCCTCACATTTTGACCTTGTCCTTTGACCCTGACCTTGACCCAAACACTTACCCTGGCACTGAACTAGATCAAGCCTTGATCTAGGTATTTTTTCTTTCTTTTTTTCTTTTATTTTTTAATATTTATTTATCTTTTTTTTTTTTACAAACATTTTTTTTCCCTCTATGCCAGGAGTTAGAGAGATACAACGTATCTCTCTCCTCCATTCATATAGAGAAAAAAAAACCACAAGGGGCCAGGCTGTACAGTGACTGATCACTGTGATAGCCAATCAGAGGCTATCACAGCGATAATGTGACCCGGAATCGGGAGTGCCGAGTCCCGATCGTTAGAAAAGGACCTGGGGCTCTCAGTGACATCGCAGTCTTTGTGATGGGAGTGCGCTGTGCAGCGCACTCCCAGCAGAAAGACAGGTACACACAAATATGCGGCCTTAGGGAAAAAAGCCCAGTTCTATGAGGCCACGTATTTGTGTTACGTCAGTGTCAAGGGGTTAAACTGGTGGAATTGGGCAAAAGAGTGAGTGTTATTTACTTACCATGCTGTCGCCACCACCCTCGGCTAATTCACACTGAGTGCAATTGCCTTCTAATACATTATGTAGTATAATATATTCTGTCTAGCTATGGAAGGCAGTTAGGAAAATATTTCCTTTGTGAGGACTGATGTTGTCTAGGTTTAATGGTTATGTAAAGAGCAATCGCCATGTTGGTAATTTTTGGGGCAGTTGAATAGCCAGGTGAGTTATGCATTTCATTCTGAGGAACCATGGCTTATAATAATAGTGAAGTAATCTCAGTTTACTATCACATGCATAGTGGCGTGTACAGAGAAGTAAAGGTCACAAACCAATTACATCTGGACATGCGGTAACCTATTATGACTGACTTAAAAAAATTTAAAACTTATAGTTAACGCACAATAGTTACAAGAATGACAGCAAAGCACCTGTCTGTTTGTATGTACTTATACGATCTGAAGTAAGTGAGTGAAGGTTCTTATTATGGCACACAATATTGCCAGAAAGAAAGATTAAATCCATGATTTTTGTTTATTAGGATTACTGTAGTTATCTTTAGATTTTTGATCAGGCTGGCTTAAAGGCTTTTACAGACACTAAAGGCGACAGGTGTGTAGTCGTGATACATGAGGTTGGTGTTATTTTTGCAGCCTAGGGTTTCTATACTTTGTCCTGTTTTTTTTCTTCTTTTCCAAATGTCAGAGCTTAGCTTTATATACTTTTGACATCTGAGGATGGCAACGGAAACTGCTGGAAATTGAAGGGATAGTGTTTGAGTTTTGATTTTGACATCAGTTTGTAAATTATTTTAATTTATGTAAAATGCAGTGTTTGACTTTGATTTCATAGAATAGCTTACATTTTTTGTTGATTTTACCATGCATTGTACTTGTTTACTCGTAATTTTCTATACAAGTCAATGTGAATATGACTCAAACACATACCAAACTGATTTAAACTAACCTTGACCTGATCTGAAATTGATGTCAAATGCAAGCCATTTATCTGCATGTTAAGTTGCCTAAGGCCCATGTACACTAGCTCCAAGGTAGCATATACAGGATTCTTCTTACGCCCTAAATTTTGAGAGAAAGACCAGTTGTAAAGATTATGGATGTGAGATTTGGGATGTAGAATTTTTTAAAGAGAGTAGGCATAGAAATGAAAAAAAAAACTTGACAGGAACTGCTGGCTATCCAAAAATAATACAATGCCTAGATCATGGTTTCATATGCAGTAAATCATGTTTTGAAGATCCTTTGAAAATAATAAGGTGCATTAGTCCACTTTATTGGTTTACTAATTGTACCATGTAGCCGAACGCTTGTGGAAATCTGACTGCCTTGAAAACATTCTATGGGCCAATGTACAGTATGTGAACACACCTCCAAAATATTAAGTTCAAGTGTTTCCAGTGAAGTGTTCTGTTAATGCTGCAGCATACAACGAAATGTTAGACAATGACATTACAAAAGTTTGGAGAAAGTCCTTTTCTCTTTAAGCATGACTGTGACATGCAAAAGTCAGGTTCATAAAGATGTGGATTGAAACATTTGGTGTGGAAGAAGTTTCCTGCAAAGAGCTCTTGCCTCAACCTAATTAAACAACTTTGGGATGAAATGAAACTCTGATTGACATCCAGGTCTTCTTGTCCAAAATTAGCATCTGACCACACAAATGTGTAGGGCTGAATGGACACTAATTCCCACAACCACACTCCAAAATCTTGTGGAAAGACTCCTTAGTGGAGGCTGTAAAAGCTGCAAAAGAAAGGGGGAGGGGGCAATCCCATATTTCAAAGCCCATGGGTTTGGAATAGGAATAAACTTGACATTGAGTGAATACACACCTGAATTAAAATAAACAGTACCTTTAGTGCCTTGTAAGTTAGATTACTGAAATGC